CCGTCTGCAAGAAAAGCTGTTCACAGAAAAAGAACAGCAAAACTGCCACAGAAGGAGGAGGGTAAACACATGCAAACACTAGCTAACATAGCTGAGTGTCTAAGCACATACCCACACGCTGACCTCGGGCTCCCAGTGAGCATCGGGAGGAACAGACTCAGGGTGGCCTGGCAGTGTGTGGTGGCTTCCCCTGGGGCAGCTCACACTCTCCCTTCACCTGAATGTCCTGAGGACAATGTGGGGACCAGGTTGTGGCCAGAGGCCACGTATGATTTGAGATCATACTACATGGGATTCTCTTGCAGCAAGAGACACAGGTTCCAGCAAAGGTGACAGTATGAGTCGGGTTTGGGGTGGGACATGGAGTCCAGGTGGTTGGGGACCTGAGTGGCTCCATGTTTTCTGCAGGAGCCCTTGCCCTCTGGTCTGCAGACACGTCTGGTATAATAACCCCTTTCGGTAGAGATCAGCTCCCAGTCTGGGGGGCACGGGGCATGAACGGGGCCGGGCGAGGCGTTCAGCCCTGCTGGGTCTTCCTGGGAACCCTCAGCAAGAAAGAACAGCAACAGCGATACCTCAGGGGCGCCAGGAGGAGCCTATCATCTTTCTCTTTCCTTCACAGCCCATTCCATGGGAGCTTGAGAGGGGGAGGTAGGGAGGCTGGTGAAAGGCCACCTGAGGCTGCTTTTCAACGAAACTATCCATGTACAGGATAGAATTACTTGTATCAAGTACACAAGACTTTTAATCCACTTCGTAATCAAACAGGGCATCGCTCTGGGTTGCTACAAGCCTGAGATGACAGTGTATTTCCACCCACTTCACAGGTGGGGAAACTGAGGTGCAGGGGAGGCTCAGAAGTCATCCATTCAAGCCAAGCAGGCAGTGGGGAATTCAGAGCCCTGGGCTCCGCCAGCTCGCACCTTTGCAGAGAGAAGTGTGGGGACACAGCTTGCCAGTGAGGGGTGGTGCAGGCACCTCTGCTATTTTATAGCAGAGTCCCTTCTAGCCTGAATTGGGATCTGCCAAGACTAGAGTTTTTTGGTATGCAAATACAAAAGATATTTCATCATCTGAGCATGCCCATGAACTGGAGTTTCTGTCTGCAGAAGCTAGGTACCTTCTCTGGGTCCCAACCCAGGCTGCCTGAAGAATTAGCAACACATTGCCCTGGGGTTCTTCACTCTGCCTCTAGCCCAGATGGTTCCGAGTCAGCTCTACCACCATCTCTTTGCAGGACTTAGGGCTAGTGTCTTACATGTGCCTCAGTTTCTGCATCTGAATAAACAGGGCAACGTTAGTAGTTCCATCTGCGTCTGGAGTGACTGTGTACCTCCAATGAGACAAAGGAGAGAAGAGAACTTCGCTGAGTAGAAAATGCTAGACCCATGAGGG